TCTCGCGCAACAGCGTGCACCCTTTACACGACGACAATCGCGGTCACCATCTCCGAGGAGACCCGCAGCCACTGGGCCACGTTTCGGGGTGACGGCACGGGAACGCTCCGCGAGCCCTCGTCGGGAAAACTGAAGGCAGCGGCCTTCGGGGGCAAGGTCGCTGGGACTCAAAGTGCGGAAGACCTCCCATCGATGCTTGCACGCAACGCCGAAGGCATTTCGTCAGAGAATAATCGCAGTGCCGAAGAAACGCCGACATCCGCATCTGAACTTAGTGACCGCGTGTCGCTCGACATACCTGTGCTGGTTGACGGTCTTCAGGTCAGTGCATTGGTAGACACTGGTGCAGACTATTCGATCATCAGCGGGAGGCTAGCGAAAGATCTCAGAAAAGTGATCACGCCGTGGAATGGAACGCGAATTCGAACAGCTGGAGGACACGTTGTAACACCGCTGGGTCGCTGTACCGCAAGAGTGAAAATTCGTGCGTCAACGTTTGTGCTCAGCTGCCTCGTTCTCCCCGACTGTTCGCGTCAGCTGATTATCGGCATGGACTTCCTTCGGGAATACGGTGCCATCATAAATCTCCGTGAGCGCATCGTGACCTTCTCGACTCAAGGCGCAACAGATCGAGACGCCGATAACTGCCGTAGACTTGCGCTGCGTGTTGCTGACGACAGTGTGACGCTGCCACCTCGAGCAACTGTTTCCATCGAAGTCACTTGTGAAGACTTCCAAGACGGCGACGTGGTGGCTGAAAGCAACTTACCACTTCTGCTGCTCCAAGGTGTATGCGCCGCCCGAAGTGTAGTGCGCGTCCGTGACGGACAGTCAACGATACCAGCTACGAACTTCAATTACGAGCACCGGCATCTTTTCCGTGGAACCACCCTAGCCTATGGAGAACCTGTTGCCGACGTCACGGAGTGCTTCGCGTCCGAGGAAACGCATGAGGATAAGGAATTTCTAGACCACATCGACATCAATTCGACGCTGTCAGACGAGAGAAAGGCTGCACTTCACGACCTTTTAAGGGAGTTTAGATCTTGCTTCGCCTCTTCTTCTAAAGTCCGTCAAACTCACTTCACGAAGCATCGAATTATTACCGACGATGACGTCCGCCCCATCCGGCAGCAGCCTTATCGCGTTTCTGCCAAAGAACGCGAGGCTATTCAGACACAAGTAAAAGAGATGCTCGATGACGGGATTATTCAACCATCCAGCAGCGCTTGGTCCTCGCCAGTCGTTCTAGTAAAGAAAAAAGACGGAACGCTGCGATTCTGTATTGACTACAGGAAGCTTAATAGCGTCACAAAAAAGGACGTCTACCCGCTTCCACGAGTAGACGACTCCCTCGACAGGTTACGACGTGCGAAGTATTTTTCGTCCATCGATCTAAAGAGTGGCTATTGGCAAATTGAAGTGGATGAACGAGACCGAGAAAAAAACCGCGTTTGTGACTCCAGACGGACTTTACGAATTCCGAGTTCTTCCCTTCGGCCTCTGTTCTGCACCAGCCACTTTTCAGAGGATGATGGACACAGTTCTCGCTGGCTTGAAGTGGCAAAGCTGCCTTGTCTACCTCGATGATGTGGTCATCTTTTCCGAGAGCTTTGAAGAACATCTGAAGCGTCTGAGAAAGGTTCTGGAAGCCATTCGCACAGCTGAACTTACGCTGAAACCCCAAAAATGCCATTTCGGCTATGAAGAGCTGAAATTTCTGGGACATGTCATTAGTGCAGATGGAGTGCGACTTGATCCAGACAAAACTGCTGCTGTCGCCGCCTTCCCTGTCCCATCAGATAAAAGAGCAGTACGCCGTTTCCTCGGCTTGTGCGCGTATTATCGCCGATTTATCGCCAACTTCTCTAAGATAGCTGAACCTCTTACGCGACTCACCCGAGATGACGTACCCTTTACTTGGGGCGTAGAACAAGATACATCGTTCACGGAGTTACGACAGAGAATGCAAACAGCCCCTGTTCTTGCCCATTTTGATGAGGACGCTGCTACAGAAATTCATACAGATGCCAGCAACGTCGGACTTGGCGCTGTCCTTGTACAACGACACGGCGGCGTTGAGCATGTGATAGCTTACGCCAGTCGTACTCTTTCTCGAGCTGAGACCAACTATTCTACGTCAGAAAAAGAATGCCTCGCAGTCGTGTGGGCGACGACCAAATTTCGGCCTTACCTCTACGGTCGTCCCTTCAAAGTGGTGACTGACCACCACTCGCTCTGCTGGCTGGCAAATCTCAGAGATCCATCCGGCCGTCTCGCACGGTGGAGTTTGCGTTTGCAGGAGTTTGACATTACGATTGTGTACAGGTAAGGGCGCAAACACGAAGACGCCGACGCGCTTTCTCGAGCACCTGTGGGGAACGCTGTCAGGGGCTCCGAAGATGAAGATGCCTTTCTCGGAGCAGTTAGTGACTCCGAATTTATGTCAAAGCAGCGGGCAGACGATGAATTACGCCCAGTCATTGATTCCTTGGAAGGCCGCAACTCTAAGGTCCCTCAACACATTGCTCGCGAACTGTCCTCTTTTTGTCTAAGAAGAGGCATTCTTTACAAGAAAAACGCCCGTGGTAGCGACAAGGCTTTCCTACTCGTTGTTCCTACCGACATGCGTGATGAAATCCTTCTGGCGTGCCACGACGAGCCCACGTCAGGACATTTGGGCTATTCGCGAACTCTCGCCCGAGTACGCCAACAGTATTACTGGCCGCGACTATCAACTAGTGTACATCGATATGTGAAAGGCTGCCGTGAGTGCCAGCGCCGCAAGACTCCGCCTGTGAGACCCGCGGGCCTGCTCCAGCCGATCGCACCACCACGGACACCGTTTGACCTCGTGGGAATGGACCTTCTCGGGCCCTTCCCTTTGTCGTCCTCTGGGAACAAGTGGATTATAGTTGCGACAGATTATCTCACGCGTTATGCTGAAACAAAAGCGTTACCCCGTGGCACGGCCTCTGAAGTCGCGCAGTTCTTCGTGCACCAAATCGTCCTACGGCATGGTGCCCCGTCATGCGTGATTACGGACAGAGGGACGTCGTTTACAGCACGAATGATGGAGGACATTTTTAAACTGAGCTGCACAAGTCATCGAAAAACAACGGCTTATCATCCGCAATCCAATGGACTGACAGAGAGGCTTAACAAGACCATAGCGGACATGCTGTCAATGTACGTGGACGTACAACATAAAACCTGGGACGAGATTCTTCCATACATCACGTTTGCTTATAATACGGCAACGCAAGAAACAACGCGATTTCCGCCTTTCCGACTTGTTTACGGACGCAACGTGCGAACCATGCTCGATGCTATGCTTCCGTGCGACGAAAGCAATGAACTTGCTCAAGATGCTGAGCAATACACTCAATACGCCGAAGAAGCTCGTCAGCTAGCTCGCATAAACACCAGGCACCAACAAGATGCAGACGCGCGACGTTACAACCTCCGCCATCGAAATGTCACTTACCACCCTGGGGACCGAGTGTGGGTGTGGATCCCTGTCCGGCGACCAGGCTTATCCGAAAAACTCCTAAGCCGTTATTTTGGACCGTACAAGGTTCTTAGACGAATCACAGATCTTACCTACGCGGTATTTCCGGACGGCGCAGCGTCTTCTCGTCGACAGCTTCGACCCGAAACCGTGCATGTCCTTCGGCTGAAGCCCTACTTCACACAGTAGCCCTTGTGGTTTCACGTGCTACGACATGCCGTGACATTGCGTTGCTGCTGCTGTTTGTGTTCTCGTGTGTTTTTGCGCCCTTTCTTTTTGCGCTTGGCGGAAGCGTTGGCGAAACTTCCTCATTTGCGCTGCGAGTAGTGGCACTCTCCCTCTTTTGGTTCTCTATATCTGCGTGTGTATACCTTCATTTTTTTTATTTACGAGCATCGAGTCGATGCTTTCAAAGGGGGGGACTATTGCCACATGGTTTGCTTGGGTGAGATCGAAGAGTGAAAGAAGACAAAGACGATCTCTCTGAGCCGCTGCTTGAGTAGTCGACTATACGAGCCCATTTTTTGTCAAGTTTGTCGAGAGTAACGTGACACTATCTACTTCCCATTTTTAACCACCTCGAGTTCATTCATGGTATATACAAGTTCATTGTATTCATGGCACTGCGGCTCAACACTCGCTAAACCTTTCTAAAGCTAAGGAGGTTACACCCAGCGAGTATAACGTAGCAACCCTTTCTTTTCAGATAGTGCTCAATGTACATGCCAATGGCTGCTAATGGTGATTGCAGCCTGCGCGTTAACTAAAAGCCAAATGCTCCTGTCTCTCATTCCCCATTAGCAGCCATTGAATGTACATTGAGCACCACTTTTTATTGTTCAATAACGCTCAGAAGAAGTCTCTCCCCGGCACCACCTTGGAGGTCAAAATGTTATACTTGTTACATACTACGGGGGACGAACGGGTGTCGCTATAAAAAGCTTCGCCCCTAAAACGAACACCTGCAGACTAATTATTCTGTATTACAAAATGTGCGTTCTGGGCTACGTGCAGGAACAGCTGCGCGAACGTGCTGATAGAATCGCACTTGTCTAGAGCAACGGTACGCATGGCTGTCGACATTGTTCTTAGACGCGGCCTCACGTTAGCTACAAGTTTACGTGCATACTTAAAAAATAACCACAAGAATCCAGCACGCTGTGTGTCCTTGTTTGGTTAACACGGTGTCGCTTTTCTGCACATTTCTTCAGAAAACCGCAGCTGAAGCGGCTGGCAGGGCGCGCTAAACGAGTGTTATTTTATCTGTGCTTCATTGCTTCTGACGTGCAGGACATTTTTCAAAAAATGATGTCAATAATGTTCTGTAGCATCTACATTTGCGGCTTTCCGAGGCGACGATACAACCCCAGAAATCAACCGTCTCAAGTAAAATGACCGCAAAGTTCAAGCAAGCGCCGCGCATCGCCCCCGCCGTCAATAACCCGTTAACCGATATTCCAGAGAGGCTGCTTCGACTTTCTCCACTCACCTTTGACAACCGCCGAAGACGTTTTTGTAATCCGTGGTTCGCCGATGAATGAGGCGACACATAAACTGCCTCACTTCGAAGGCTGCCCTCAGCGTGTTCGCTCGCTTACACGCTTGAGCCATTTCCGGGAGGCGTCCTTTCGACGAAAACCACGCTGCTTCCTCCAAGGCTGTTTTCAGAGCCACCACCACCCACACCCTCGATCGCCCTACGTCGGCTACCGGCTCGGTCTGTCGATGCTGGGCTAATGCGATCGGCTGAGCAAAATACGAGGCGGGACAGCCGACGAGGCGCCCTTGTTCCTCTGACTGCGAAGAGAGGGAGTTACGGTTTCCCTCTCTTTCTGTAGAGGAGGAGGTGTTGCGTGCGTACGATAAGCACCCCCCTCCCCTACCCTTGCCCTTTCTTGAATATGGGTTTGTGTCAAGGTCGCATTTTTATCAAGCCTAGATTTACCCGCAGTTTCGCGTAAGTGGCTTCGCGACTGCCCATGGCTGGCTGTCACAGACTTTCGTGATAAATGATCGAGCATGCCGACAACAAGAATGTGTACCTTAATGACTTCAGTGTACACGGCGATGCATGAGGAAACCACCTCTCAAATGCAGCATTCACTTTCTTTCTTTCTTTCCTTCTTTCTTTCTTTCTTTCTTTCTTTCTTTCTTTCTTTCTTTCTTTCTTTTTTTCTTTCTTGGCTACGTATGTTGCATATGAAATAAAGGTAACGATTTGTCTCCGAACAATATTGAACGCTACCATGCTTTACTGCTTGCATATTTGGAGCTTCAATATTGACCCGGTATCTTCGACGGTTCGTCTAAGACCAAGTGCCAAATCGATCAGTTCTTTCGCATATCTACACGAGCCAGACATTGTCTCTCTTCGCATGACCGCCGCAAGGACAACACACACACACACACACACACACACACACACACACACACACACACACACACACACACACACACACGCGCGCGCACACACACACACACACACACACACACACACACACACACACACACACATACACACACACACACACACACACACACAAGAAAAAAAAAACGTCGATGAATAAATATTCGCATACACTCAGTAACATGTCGACACGGGGTGTTTTGGTCCCCCCAAAAAATATTCATTGCAGAACGCGAAAAGTGCGGCACCTCGAATGGGGGTCTTCTTGTGGTAGTTTATAGCAGAGCGAAATAAAGGCGAAGGATGGGCGAGAAGGCCAAACAGGTTGAGCCCAGTTTACTACCGTACACGAGGGGAGGGAGAAATAAGAGAGATAGAAAGAACGAACGAAAGCACAACTAATACGCGCGCACACGTAGCAGCTTCAACGCGCTTTTACAGGAGCTCACAAACTTCGAACTGTTTGAGAACACAGCATGAGGCTGTTTTTTTTTTCCTTACGGGTCCAAAAAAAAAAACATAATATCATATCCACAGAGGGAATGATGATGAGTAGGGCAAAGCTTCGAAGGGTTTTATCGCTTAACCGTGAATCATCTGGTGGCCGCGTTCGTCCATCTGCCGGCCCTTCTGTCTGTATGTCCGTCCGTTCATTTATCTGTATGTCTGTCCATCCGTTCACCTATAGTGAACACTACAAGTACAGCCATCTCACATCTTTTCATCATATAATCATCATTAGAGTAACTCTAATTATTATATACAAGTACCGCCATCTAGTGAACATTCCGCGGACTAAAACGAGGGGTGGCTATACATACAGGAAACGCACGACCCACGCTTTAAGGAGCTTCGGCTCTAAAACGAGCGTTACACGTGTGTCTGTGAGACGCCGGTCACATCATTATCTCCTGCTATGGACTTGCTTCAACGCAAGGTTGCAAGAGTAGTGAGAAAGCTTCGATGCCAAGAAACCACCAGTGCCACGAAACTACAGTGCTTATAATATACTAACAGTATGTGTATTCAAGGCACTATAACTAAAGCACCATCTAGTGGTTATGGCACTTGACTGCTCACCTGCAGGTTGCGGAATCGAATCGCAGCCGCGGCAGTCACAAGTTTCCGTGCAAGCGAAAATGTTTGAGGCCCGTGTGCTTATGGAATTTAGGCGCAAGTCGAAAAACCCCAAATGAACTAAACTTCCAGAGTCTTCCACTGCAGAGTCTTTGATCATCATATCGTCGTTTCGGAACGTTACACCCCGACAGTTACTATAATTTAATACCACGACATATACCTTGCTCTGTGTCGAGCGCAAGAAGAACAGAAGAAATAATATTAATCATTTAGCTATCATTATATTAATATTATTAATACTATTACAGTTATTATTCTTTACCTTTGTATCTTGTGCTACGTAATTGCTGCAAGATAAAGCTCTAAGCATTTTAGACTGCTTAAGCTTTCTTACACAAACATATAGGAAGCGTATTACGCTAACAACGTGTCTCACTTCTCCTTGTTACCACGAGCAGTGACCGGGTGGCATCTTTTAGTCGAATTTTCTGTTGTTCAGTGAACACTAGAATTGGTTACTGAACTCGTGGAAAAAGTTCTTTAGCAAAGGCATATGCATCCTGCCATTGCCGGTATTTTTATTTTGTTATTATTGTTGTTTTCTATTTGTATAATTATTTGAAATATCGGCCGTGTAAAAGCTGTTCCAAATGGCTTCCCTGGACTTTTTTTCTTTTTTGTGTGTGGGTGCATGTTAGGGCTAGCATCCTTCTCCGCACATTCTGTTTACCTATGCACTTCATCCCATGCGAGGTAATGGCACTACTTCGAAGTTATTATACTATACATAGGAAGTACAAATGCAGTAAGAGCAGGTGCGCGAAGACACGTCACGCTGTCTGTCTTTGCAGACTTTCGGAGATTGGTGTCAGTCCCAGCAAGAAAGCAGACTTGCGACAAAGATTCCTAGACACCGTGAAGAGATAAAACGCAGCTGCCCACTGCGACCCCTTCTTATCGTCCCTCAACGCACTCCTTGACGGGAGAGCCACGTCGTCAAAGTCGTCTCGGAAAGTTGAGCTCGACGTTTTACGAGTGCTTCTTCTGCCGCCACGGTAGAGTGTTCATTACGGAGTTATGAACGAGTGTTGATTATGATCTCCTTTCCCAGCTCACGCGCACAATTAAAGACAAACGAATTTACGTTTCGGGTAACTATCCACGCATCCACACAGCGTGGTCTGCTTGAAGTAAAGATGTATAGTAAAACAAAACTGAGTGGGCCATCCCTTTCGTTTCGAACGGATGAATGCCATAAACACACACACACACACACACACACACACACACACACACACACACACACACACACACACACACACACACACACACACACACACACACACACACACACACACACACACACACACACCCACACACACACACACACACACACACACACACACACACACACACACACACACACACACACACACACACACACACACACACACACACACACACACACACACACACACACACACACACACACACACACACACACACACACACACACACACACACACACACACACACACACACACACACACACACACACACACACACACACACACACACACACACACACACACACACACACAAAACAATTATGTTCGTGAGATGCACCACATGCGGCCACCATATGTTGAAACATTACGCGAAACAAAAAACGGATGAAAATCTTTGAGGAAGCTTGTGCTTCGCCTTCACAAGTACAAGGCGATAACATAATTGTGCCCCGTACGCATCGCCTTCTGAATTGCTAGACAAGCTTCTTTTCTCGGTGGATGCCTAAACCGTGCCGCAGGGAAACCAACGTGTTTGAGCCTAACATTGCCCCTTCCAAACTATTCTAAAATGCCTTTTGCAAGTACTGTTGCAAATTACTTCGTTTCGTCTTCCAGCTGCCGCCGCCACCACTGCTGCTGCTGCGGAAGATGATTCGATATGTCTGAGCACATTGTAACATGTGATCCTTTAATTTTAACACCCACTCTTTGCGCAATTCGCCCGCGCATTTCACGCGTGCCTGGTGCGATTTTGGACTTCGGTCACGCAACATTACATGCGTTGAGGCAACGCCTCCTCTAATTTTTACCAAAATCAGCCAGATGTGTACGATCCAGCCGTTCACAACCGTCTCTTTTAGCCCTTTCCTGCTCTCGCGAATCACCTAGCTTTCGCGTGTGCTTCGCGGTCATGGGGTAGATTGAATTGGATTAGATTGGATTCATATGGAAAATTCCTCATGCAGCGCCTCACGACGGAAATCATGTGAAGTAATTTTTTGTTCAGTTGTGTACAGACTACTGGGGCGGTGTCTTGCATTCTTCGTGTTCACAATATTGGCGGTCGCGCTGACTGAGTGAAGGATACGGTGTTTTGAGACAGTGTCTCACCGTTACTGGGGCTATGGGGGCAACCAATGGGGAAGCGTCGCTGCCACGCTTCTGCTTGCGCTGCGCTGTGGTGCGGCATTGGCATTGCTTCTAGCCACAATGAAGGATCGTGGAGCAAAAAAATCTGACAGAGAGTATACCATCGGAGTGGGAAACACGTCTATTGCATCTTCGGGGGAAAGCACTTGGAATGAGGTGTCACGCCAGCAGCGTTACCCATCATGTAGGGTCACATGACGACCACTCCCTGAACTAAGGTGGACCGACGGCTCCAGTTGAGAAGCGTGCGTTTGGACTGGCATTGAAGGAAATTAAGGAAGAGTTGCTTAAGGAGACTCTCCCACTAAATGAAATTCTTAGCGTTTTTTTTTTCGTAACAGTTTCAAGCAATGTTGTGGCTTAGATAATATTATGTCCTGCGTTAGGCCACTGCTATAGCTATAGACTTTTACAACGGAGAGAAGGAGCGTCTCCTTTTTTTGAGCTGTTGTAACGAACGCTGATGCCGATGCCTCGACAGTGCATATTAGTGGAGTCACGCGATCTTTTAAAACAACGGAGAGAATTGCGGTGATGCTCACGAAGTTTTGTTCAAAAAATGGCAGCATATTCACGGAGTGAATGATGGAGAGTGGGGCGAAGAATTCGTCCGTCCATTCGTTCTTGCTTCCGTCTGTCCATGCGTCCGTCAGTGTGACCATCCATGCGTCCATCAGCCCGTCCGTGCGTGCGTGTGTTCGTGCGTCCGTCCCGGCGTTCGTCCATGCAGCCGCCCCTGCGTCCGTTCATGCGTCCATCCATGCATCTGTCTATGTGTCCGTTCGTCCATATATTCAACACTCCAAGTACCACCATCTCGCATCTTTTCATCATATATTCCCCATATGGAAGCACCGCCATCCAGCGGACA